TATGTATTCTTTATATAAATAAGTATAGATTTTTATATAGAATATTAATATAAGTATATTCATATTATTTGTGTGCTTCATAGATATATTTTACATAAAACTCTTTGCAGATGTATTATATTCTATTAGACTTATTATAATTTTTCATTTATAGATAATGCTATAATAAAGATTTCTACATAAAGCTTTTTCTATTTTTAAAGTGATATCTTTAGTTTGAATTCCTAGAAGTGGAATTACTGAGTCAAACAAAGAATGTGAAAATTTTTAAATTTCTTGCTATTTCTATCAAATTCCTTTCTGAAAAGATTTCCAGTGTATTGAGCAAACAGCATCATCTTTTTAAAAATCCTTTCAAAACTCCAATATTAGAGAGGTTACATCTTTCCATATGCTGTATTTCCTCTTTAAAATGTTCTTTACCCAAAACTTACTGGGATCTTGAGATTAAAAAACAGTCTTTGTAAACAAGTGTTCTTTTTCTTTCATTTTGTAGCCAAAGAAACTCTACCTGATTTGGTTGCCATAATTCCTGACACAGTTCCAAGTACTGAGCTTCTCATTGAAACTACAGCCTCTGCCTGTTACACATTGAACAACTTAACCCAGAACAGTTACCAGAATGCCCGGGACCTTCTAAACACTGGGGGCCTGCAGAAAATTATGACTATCAGCGCAGGCGATACGTAAGTCCTTCAGCATCTGCCCATCGGCTGTCTCCCCTTTCCCACCACCACTCCCGTGTGTAAATCTAGTTGTAAACATTGTCACTGTGGACCATGGGCAACATTCAGAGGTGGTCAAACTCCAGAGCTTCCAGCATTTTATTGACCTGATGAATTAATTTGTTTCCCAGAACGTCAGCTGTGATTTAAGAACAGCAGAATGTAGGCAGAGTGGGAGGACTATGGACAGGGACTACCCTTCCTGAAATCTGTGGAGCCCATGTTGGCCCAGGTGGCTAAGAAGAAGTAGTGATAACACAAGTGGGAGGCAGCATAATACATTCTTCCTCTCCCAGTTTTCTCTGTCACATCTCTTCCACTTCTTGTTCCCTTTTGAGAAGAGAAGTCTAATGCATATACATCATCCCACATCCCCATTTCTATCTTTGAATTTTCCCCATTTAAAAATGGAGGAAGAGCCCTGGCCAGTGGCTCGGTTGGAACATACACCAAAAGGTTGCGAGTTCGATTCTCAGCCAAGGCACATACCTGGATTGTGGATTCAATCCCCTGTTGGGGCAAGTATGGGAGGCCGCCAGTCGATGTTTCTCTCTCACATCGATGTTTCTCTTTCCCTTTCTCTCTCTCTCTAAAAAATTAATAAAAACATATCCTCGGATAAGGATTTAAAATAACTATATATATAAAAGCCTAAGTGACCATTACAACCGGACCACCGGTTGACCGGCTGGTCGCTATGACGATGCAATGACCACCAGGGGGCAGACGCTCAATGCAGGAGCTGCCCCCTGGTGGTCAGTGCGATCCCACAGCCAACTTCCTGCCTCTGGCCAACCTCCCACAGTCCCTCCCCCTGGCTGGCTGACTCCGATCGGCCCAATCAGGACTAGGCAAGACAGCCCCAATCAGCCCCGATTGCCAGCCAGGCCAAGGGACCTCACCTGTGCACAAATTCGTACACCGGGCCTCTAGTCCTATATAATAAAAGGCTAATATGCAAATCAACAGAACGGCAGAACAGCCGGTCGCTATGATGTGCACTGACCACCAAGGGGCAGACGCTCAAAGCAGGAGCTGCCCTCTGGTGGTCAGTGCACTCCCACAGGGCTCACAGCTGGCGAGCGCAGCAGTGATGGCAGGAGCCTCTCCCGCCTCTGTGGCAGCGCTAAGGATGTCTGACTGATGGCTTAGGCCCGCTCCCCATGGGCCTACAGTCAGACATCCCCCAAGGACTCCCGGACTGTGAGAGGGCATAGGCTGGGCTGAGGGGACCCCCCCACCCCCCACAAGTGCATGAATCTCGTGGACCGGGCCTCTAGTAATAAAATAAAAAGAAAGGAAGAGAATGAAAAACCTTGTATAATCAAATTATTACTATTACTTAATTTAGAGTGATAGGATCTAAAGGGGGCATGATTACTATCTTTTTCTCTTTATACAATTCTGAATTGTTTGACTTGTTAAAGACAACTTACTTTTGTAAATAACTAAAAAAGAGAGAAATGTTATAGCCCAGTTCTAACGAGTTGCAAAGCAAATGGACTTCCTCTGTAATGGACAAGCATGTGCTTGGCCACACAAGGGTGAGCAGCGGGGTCTGAGGCATCCTGGATGATCACCTGTGTCCTCTACCACAGCCCCACCCAGTATAAACCCTTTGTGCTTTGAGCCCCCCTCTGGCAAAGTTCATGGGAGGGAAGACCCCATTCAGAGCCAGAGTCACACGATTAAAAGGAGCACTGGTTAGAAGGTCAGTTCCCTAAGAGCAGGGAGTATTCACCTGTTCCCAGAGCCTGGCAAATAGCAGTTGGTCTGTCTTTGTGGGAAAAAAGCGAATTATTGCTGCAAAACAGAAATGACTATTTGCAGTAGTCATCCAAACTTCTAAGCAAATTTCCAAAAGACTGCATGATTTTACTTATTTGAGTACTCAGACGTAACAGGCACATTGGAGTACACACTATTGTTGCTGGTGAAAGTGGGCTCTTTTGTAGTGTCTCAAGAAAGAAATTTCAAAGGGCTCATGCATGGAGAAGTTTAAATGTAGTGGTAAGATTTTTATTGGGGTGAAGAGAAATAATACACCCTCGGGGATGTAGGGGGTGGGCAGGCTCTGGCAGCAACTTCCTTGAAACTTCTGACAATCCTCCATGTTTTTTCTCGGTTCTCCATAACGGGCAAGGTGTCCCTCAAACCATCCAACCCACTTCCTGATTTCTCCTGGGCTCTCATTGGGCCCTGCCCTTAACCAATCCCTTTCCTGGACCTACCAGGGTTTCATGCCCCCTATCCAATCTGATTCTTTTCCCAGATTTTTCCAGGCTAGGCTCTGCCTCTTTATATCACCTTTTGGCTTTTAGTTCACTTGCTTCAAGTAGAAGCTCCTCCCCTGTGCCATGTGGACTTTTAAGAATTCTGTTGCGTCATCTGGTTTCTACTGTGCATGTGCTGAGCAGAGGAGTTTTCCCTCCTCCTCCGTCCCATAATCTGGTATCATCAGGCAGCACCCCCCTGGAAGATTTTCCTGGCTGCTTGGAGGGTTAAGTCTCCTCCATGATACCCTGGAGTGTGTACATGAATTTAATGCTATAGCCTCCTAGTAAATCCAGCTTAATGGGATGCTGTAACTTCCTAGTGAAGCAGGCCCAATGTGTGATTCGCTTCCCAGTTTATTAAGCTTAATATTTGATTCAGCTCCCTAGTTTATTAAGTTCAATGTCTGAATCCCCTTTGGCCCCTCTCTTTATTAATAACTAGCTAACTACCTCTGCTTAACACCATCACTTTGGGGAACTTCTTGTAGCTTAGCAACATAGGGAGGAGCTAATCTGTTATTTCTTTGTTGCCCCAAGTGTCCATTTGTGCGCCAGTCCTCGCATGCCCTTTCTAAAAAAAGAAAAGAGAAAAAGTCAACAAGGAATTTCTACTGTCTGTGCCTGATGCTCCTTGCTTGCTAAAGTGTTGTACAGCTGACCTGTAATTTATGGCATCAATTTAAATGAAGACATTAACTGAGGCAAGCTCAGGTTCCCAGAATTTGAGCTCATTCAGGAGTAGCAGAGAAATGACAGTGCAGTAACCCATGCTGCAGCGAGCTTCCGGGGAGTCTCAGTCTTCTTTAATCAGACATTTACAGGGAGTCAGTCTCTCAGTTCATAAGTTCTCTTCTTCTGAGGGGGCATGCATGACATTCTCTATTTCATATCCTCTGGTTTCATTGTAGGTTGAAATCCTTTCACACGGGCTAGCCTGGGGACCAATTATCATTTATATCATTTTATCTTTGAATAAGTGAGTTCCCAAGTGTCAACAGCCAACTTATAAACAAATTTTATAAATATAACATCCTTGCGAAGGGGAGGAAAAAATACTTTTTTCTCTACCCTTTTAGTGTTATCGGGGGAATTGAGGTATTGGGGGTGGAGTCCTTATGATATCGCAAGAAAAAGAATTTTTTGAGACTCACACGGGAGGATGAGTGATTTTTATTTGCGTTGAATTACATCCCTTGGTTTCCAAAGTCCCATTTCCCTTAATCCAGTTCTTGAAGGAGTACAGCTGGGGCTTCAGTAGAGCTAAAAGCAAAGTCAGTGTCCACAGTTTCCATTCCACATTGCAGCCGGGTCCAGTTCAGCAGCAGGCTAGTTATATAGTCCATTGGTCCATTGTGTGTAGGGGTGGTCATGTGGGTGAATGCAGGAAGCAGGAGTGTGAGAGCCCCAAAACTGGGAGTCAATCAAGAGCACAGCGCGCTAAGAGCATAAGAGGAACCAAGAAAAAACGAGAGAGCTAACTCTTTTGTTTAGGGGATTATATGTTCCTGTGCTTGCAGTGGCCACGCCCATTCTGGCCAATGACCTTTTCCCAGGTGTGACTGACAAACAAGTACCTTCCCAATGTCACCCAAACTTTACTGGTCATGTCTCTCTCGCCCCCTGTTCAGTGCCTTCCTCCAGCAATCTGTAGGGAATAGACTGGCGGCTCCCTGGGGAGTGTAAAGCTTTAACTTCCTGGTGAAACTGCCTAAATGACATGTCTATAATATTTGGCCTTCCCTTTGCTCCTTTCCTGTTACTACTAACTAGGTTAATTACAACAGTATCACTGGGTTCTTGGCTGAGACACCCCTGCAATAAAAAAAGACAGATTAACAAAAGAAAAACAAAGGAAGTTTGATAACATATAGACCTTCTGTATCCTTGGGAGAGACCCAGGAAAACTGAGTAACTCCTAGAAATGGCCCAAGCCTCTAACAAAAGATGCTGGGGAAGAGGGGAGGCCAGTTTAGGGGGATTCCCAGGAAAAGCACAGTAAACAAGGGTTGTCAGGCAGATTTAACTCCTTGCCTTCTCCATTGATCAAACTTTCTAAAGATTTAGTCATCCCTCACTTTCTGGTACAGAAACTCCTTACAAATGGAGATTTTCCTTATAAATGTCTCTTTCAAGGGTAACTTCCACTCAGTTTTCAGAGCTTTCCCTTTGTCTGCTGTTTCTTAAACATAATCAGCTAAAATAATCCCGTGCCAGAGAGGCATATTTTGGGGTGGTGTATTCTGTTCCCCTTCACTTGCTGTTGAACTCGTTCCAATTTTAAATATTAGGGACCCATAGCTTTCATGGATTAATTAGTATCTCAGTTATAAACAAGCTAGTCTGAGAAATCCATGAGGTAACTAAAAAATTCTGTAGGGTGCTGATCTGCCTTACCCTCTCTGCCCGGTTGGTGTGGAAGAGAAAGGCTTTTAGCTGAAGAATGAGCCCAGCATGCGCTTCTCCATACAGCTTTGCATTCTCTATTCTTGGTTGCATGTTTACAAACTCCTATGATAGGAAAGATAAAAGATATGTTTCTTTGTTAAAAGAAAGTTCAGGTGGTAGACGAGAAAAAGATCAAAGAAAGCATTTTCTCCTCAGCCAGAAACAGGAAATTTAGGACAAATTTAAAAGCAGAACATCAAAAACTAAATACAATGTCAAATTCAGTGGTCTTGGATTTAAAACAGGAACACATTTGACATTTGCTCTGCACAAGAACAAAGACATCTTGAGCCTATTTTAACAAATGTTCCAACAAGAATTTATTTTATTAACTTGAAAAAATTATTCCTACCTATAGAGTCACTCAGTCTAAGAGAAGGATATATATTTTTCAGTCACACTTTCCTGATAAAAATACATGCACACACATTATAAGCATACATATATATTCTATAAATGACAGTATCTACACTAATAAAAGAGAAACATGGTAATTGGCGTACGACCGCTACCCTTTTCATTGGCTAATCAGTGAGTATATGCAAATTAACTGTCAGCCAAGATGGCGGCCGGCAGCCAGGCACTGAAGCGAGCAGGGAGGCTTGCTTGCTGCAGACTCCAACGTTCCCCGCCTCACTTGCCGGCCTCTCA